CCTCTCCTTTCCTCTCTCCCTATGCTTCTATATGCCACCATTACACATCACTAACTTTGTGTCTCCTCTCTCCTGTAGTGTGTCCTCTCTCTCTCTCTCCCTGTACCTTTCTGCAGGTTGCCCTGGCTCTGGAGCTCTATGTTTATGATGAGCAGTCACCGGCCACATCAACCTGACCAGTGTTTGCTTGTTGTGTCTTGTTGCTTTTCTTCTTTTGTCTCTCCTCTATCCACTCACCCGAGGCAGAAGGCCGCCCACCAAGAGCTGGGGTCTGTCAAAGGTTTCTTCCGTTAAAGGGAGTTTTTCCTCCCCACTGTCGCCAAATGCTGCTCAGGGGGATTTGTTGGGTTTTCCCTCTGTAATAATAGTGATAGCAGTAAGGTCTAGACCTTACTCTGTAAAGTGTCCTGAGATGACTTTTGTTGTGATTTGGCACTATACAAATAAAATTTGATTTGATTTGATTTGATTGTCTTCACTGTACTGTTTAGCTGACTGTTTAGACACTGGTGTTTCTAATTCCCAGAACAAAGTATGCCCGCCTCCAATGTTAAAGTAGTCAGAGGTTAGTCTTGGGAAGACTAAAGGGGTCCAGAGTGTACTGAGAACACTGAGAATCCACAGTCTGCCATTGCTGTCCTAAGTACTAGGTCTCTATACTTGCATGTTGCTACTTGTACTGTCATGTACTTGTTGCTCTTATTTTGCATTTAGTGTTTTAATCTGATTTGCATTTTACTGTTTTACCCATCTGTCTGCACTGTGTTCAGCACTTTAAATTGCCTTTGTGCATAAAAATGTGCTATTATAAGTAAACTTGCCTTACTCTTTCACTCTCTCTTTTCAAACACCAGCATTGAAACTTGGACACAAAGATTAGAAACTAGCTCTCAAGTACGACTCTGATACCTTCGCTCCTAACAATGAGCCTGTAGTGGTTTAAGTTACATGTTAATATGGATTATATAATAGAATAGTGTTTATGGGTTCACCTTAAGTTCATGTGAGCTGAACAATGAGCTTATATAAGTTGGTCAAGATGTTTCCTGTTTTTGAGTACATCTCAGGGTGTTGTCTCCCAAAACTGAAGACAGGAAGTTCAGAAATTGACATAACAGCCTAAGAAAAGCGACAAATAAAACAGGGAGGCTGAAGGGTGTAGGAGAAGAAGAGAGGATGAGAATGCTACCGTGAAAATGTACCGTGGACCCAGGATGGGGGGTCGGGGGAACGAACTCAGGACTGACTGGACCCCTGACCAAGACGGGCTCTGACTGACTGGACCCCTGACTGTACCACGTGACCAACAATAACTGACTGGCGCCCTGACAATCTTCTTATTTAATACTTTATCTATCCCATTGCAGGTGGAGTGATTCTGCCAGATGGCTTAGTTAACTACTACTCTGTTCAGAATAACTGAAATATTAAATGATTACTTAAATTGGGATGATTTGTCTGAATTAATTTAGTCTGTATCACATTCTAGCCACGACAAGCCGCTGAATAGAATCACTAGAAATTTACGGGCCTGTGCTACAACTCCACCAAGTGTTCAGAGGCAGCCGCCGTGTTGGAAGGGTTTTTGGTATCCAGGGCTCTGTGCCAGTCACGCAACTGAAAACTATGCATAGGACAGGGTAAACACGGTATAACCCAGTATACAACCAGTTATAACCAGGTGTGTATCACTGGTGTAATACCAGGTATATAACTGACTGGGGCGACCGACTAGAGCGAACGTCTCCCAACTAGACGGTCTGAGGTTCAAATCTCGGTGACTGCAGTCCACATGTCGAAGTGTCCCTGGGCAAGACGCTGAACCCCCAAGTTGCCCCCGATGGTTAGAGCCATCAGTGTGAGTTGGCACCGCAGATGGCTGCCTCAGTTCTGTACTGGAAACAAATGCCTTGTGTGTAACATACTTGGCCAATAAAGGTGATTATCCTTATTATCCTGAACCTGGTGTTCAACCAGGTCTTTATACATGTGTATAACCATGTGTAACAATGTGTGTTGTCTAACAAGGTGTATAGCCATCTGTAACCAAGTACATAACTCGGTGTAACCAGGTGTATACGCAGGTGTAAAGCCAGGTATACTATATATCCAGGTGCAACAGTAACACTGTACCTGTGACCCGTTGAAAACTCCGACCTGGACGAGGCGACCTGGTTTCTGCTGGTAGTTCAGGATGCTGTAGGTGGCAAAGCGTCGGTCGCCATCGTCATTAAACTCAATTCGTCCCGTCAGACCGTCAGGGTACTTTGATGACATCAGCACCCTGGGGAGCCAATCAGAGAGCAGCTCAGTGGAGAGTGGTTTGTTATTGTTTATGATTTTAAAGATGAAGGTACATGAAGTAAAACAGGTCACATGATGCTGCTGTGTCACTGCAGAGACACTGTGATACTGGACAACATAAACAGGAATTTGTCTTGACTTGATGGTTTATATAGGTCATTCAGGGTGGAGGAGCAATGGCAGAGAGGTTTGCTATCCCAGTTGTGTCAGTCTGAAGCTGAACCCAAATCAGATGATTGAAGCGTCTCCAGCTGAAGGTGGAGGCACCGACTCCACTCAGAGCATTAGAAACTGGATGAACCAGTGAATGCACAGCTTTCATGCAAATCTCTCTCTCCTCAGTAGCTATGTTCAGCATGAGCCAGTCATTTTAGTGTGACAGTGTTTTATAGGTGACCTGCAGGTTTGTGTTATCTCAGCCAGTTACACTGGGGCACTTCTCCATGGACAAACGAATATTAAGATCATAGTAGAGCTGATGCATCCTGAGTGACAGTCGACAGAAACAGCATAAACAGGGTAGACAGTAACATGCACAGGAGAGGCTGACAGCAAGCCATGAACAGCGGCACCATCTTAGCAAATAAAGTGAATAAAGTTAGGACGTGATGGTGACACAATTAGAGCAGCACAATTAACACTCGTAAAAAAAAAAAAGGCGAGTGTGTGTTGGCGCTGACCTTTTGAAGAGGGGTCCGGTTCTCCAGATGTTGGTGTTTCCCACACAGCCCTGTGGAGGCTCCGTGATGTTCTCCTTCTCAAACAGCTCCTGCAGAGACTGAGCGACCACTGCCACAGCGTCCGCAATGTGAGCCGACTCGTTCTTACCGTTAATCAGCTGGAGGCCCAGCAGGCCTGCATGCACACACAGCACACACACATTCACGTGCACAGCATACACACAGCGGGGAGTTAGAAAGGCTGCAACCTGGGAACTGCCCCTATTCACAGATGCATGTTAATTAAAAACTCAAACACACTGTAATTTTAACAGATGTAATTAAAAGAGTGCTTCAGTGTCATTCAAACACACACTCGGGGCTTCAGGCGTCAGGTCACTGTTCAGTACTACCAAACTGCATGCTGGGAATTCACTCTGTAATCACAGCCGTTTGTCTAAGGACAGAGGAGGCCTCACTGAGACATTATGAACTACGTCTGATGTTTTCCCTCTGCAGAAACTTGTCACACTGCAAGGAAATGTGTCTATATCTGTCCTGCAGCCAACTCAGAACAGCTGGCTAACACTGTTAGCATTCCCTACTGAAACCACTGGGTACAGTTGGATAACACCACTGAAACAACTGGCAACAGGTAGCTATTAGCCTCTTAAAGTAAGGTTAGCTAATGCTACTAGGGAACAGACTGTAACATTTTCTCTTGAAGTACAGGCAGCTAACATTTCCCAACTCAAGTTTAGGGAACACAATAAACCAAAGATTAACCATCCCCGGCTTATACTAGGTTTGTTCTTACCTGGACGTTACAGCTTAGCAAGTCTGTCCATGGTACATTTCTTCCTGAATCAACAATTCAGCATTAATTTTCCTGCCTAAATCTACTGTTACAACTTTTACCTGAAACCAATAAGCTCCCACCTTCCTGACTAAAATAAACTGAGCAAACGAGTACATATAAGCTAACTTTCCAAAATAAACTAATGGCTAGAGACTAATGTTAACAGCCCCCCACCTTTTCTAAATAAAGTCTTTAATTAAGGTTTTGGATTCCAATGAGTTTATTTCCCCTGAGGAATGCTAACAATGTCAGCAGACTGCTGATTAGCTGGACTTCAGAATGTGACGAGTGTCTTGTGAAGGAAAACCACTAAAAATCCATAATGTCACAGCTCTGCTTCATAGGTTTCTTTTTGGGAATAGTTTCAGTAACAACCTTTACGTAATCCTGACTGTATAGATAGAGGGGGTAGACACAAAAACAGGAACTATACTACTAATCCAACTCTGCAGCGCTAACAACAATTTTTCAGTTCAGTTCCGTTTTTGTCAGCAGACAGTAAATGTGTGAGCTGAGGAGGCGTGGTCTGAAGATCGGCAGCCTTCCGATTGGTCGGGCACAATCTGCTGAGTCTGATACTGTAGCTTCCTTTGAGTCACTGAGGGCTACTCCTGCTAGCTACCTAAACACAACTAGCCTACTTCTCCCCATAAAACCATAGCATCACCTACAGCTAATGTTAGTAATTCATTATACTATATACTGCAGTGAACAGACAGTCCTGTTATGGTAGCTAGTGCATTTATCATTCAATTGTCATTCCCAGCGCTGCAGCTGGGAAGCACGATGTTGTTGGTGGCTGTGTTGTCTCTGGATGAGAGGAATTTCTTTTCTCTCCGTGTGTTAATGCCACAATACGAGGCTTTAATCTGAAACCATTTTCCTAAAAAGAAACCTCAAGCCTCCCCCAGCAGGGACAAAACAGCTGAAATTATTTTCAGAGTGCAGTTTTGCCACAGTTTTAGGAAAATGTGTAGAAAAATAACACCATTTGTCAGAGTGCAGCAGCTGGCTGTGAGGATGTTCTCGGAAACAAAAAGCCACAGCAACAGAGCATGGGGCCGATGACCCAGCAGCCAGAGAGAAAAGTCTGATGTTATTCTGACCCAACAGCGCCCGCATACTTGTAGTCACACAGTGAAACTGAAGCATATATCATCTGGCTGACTGAGTAATCATATGACTCAATAAGCCCTGCCCCAGGCTCCGTGTTGCAGTGGGCGACGCCTCTATTGACCAATAGCAAAGGGCAAAGCATCAAGCAGGTAACAGGAAGCAGCGGCGGCATCTTACCAGTGTTTGTTCAGACACACCTCACGGTAACC